CTCTCTCCTGATGCTCCTCTCCTCCCTCTGTCTCCTTCAGCTCATCTCTCTCTCCTGACTATGACTCTCCTCCTCCATCACCCTGTGATTCGTCCCTTTTCTGTCGTCTCTCTCTCCCTCTCCCTCAAATCCTCAAAGCCCACTCTGCCCCAGCTTGGTCTCACCCCCCTGGTTTGGGACACACTTCCTCTCTCTCTCCTCTCTCTCCTCCTGGTCTCCACCCCTCTCTCTCGGCTCCTCCCCCCCTCAGTCAGAGTCTCTCTCCGATTCGCCGTCCCCCTCCTCTGGCTCCTCCCTCAGGGTGTCTGGGGTGCAGTTCCTTCTGCGGCCACCAAGGGGCGCCAGCCTCCCATCCTCCATCACCCCCACCGGCTCGATTATCTGATCCCTGAGGAGAGGGGAGAGAAGGGGAGACGGTAGAGCACAGACACACCGATTGGCCCGGCCCTGCAGTCCGTTAACTCCGCGAGAGGGGCGGCGCGGACCTGGCCAGTCGGTTCAGCATGCTGACCAGTCTCCTGGCCTCCTCCTCCTTCTCCTCCTCGCTCAGCCCCTCCAGAGGATCAGGCTGCTGCTCCTCCACCCTGCCGGTCACGGGGTTGATCCGGGAGCGTGCCTCCCGGTACTCCTCTGTGTCCGAGTCCGAGTCCTCGGAGTACTGCCTCTCCCCGCCGCCGCCCCGGCTGCCGGCGAGCAGCCCCCGCGCCGCCAGGAGGCCCGCGGCGTTGCCGTAGCCGGTGTACTTGACGAAGCGCGACACTGAGGGGCAGAGAGAGGACGAGACAGTGAGGCGGACACACCGGGTGTGGGGTCAGTATCAGGGCAGTGTGGGGGCAGTTTCAGGGCAGTGTGGGGGCAGTATCGGGGCAGTGTGGGGGCAGTATCAGGGCAGTGTGGGGGCAGTGTGGGGGGAGTATCAGGGCAGTGTGTGGTCAGTATCAGGGCAGTGTGGGGGCAGTTTCAGGGCAGTGTGTCAGTATCAGGGCTGTGTGGGGTCAGTATCAGGGCAGTGTGTGGTCAGTATCAGGGCAGTGTGGGGGCAGTATCAGGGCAGTGTGGGGGCAGTATCAGGGCAGTGAAGGGGCAGTGTGTCAGTATCGGGGCAGTGTGGGGTCAGTCACCCCCATACTGCCTGATATCAGATTCAAGGCCATGTCCAGTTGCTCTGCGGTCGGAGGCTGGGAGTGTGGGGTCACTCTGCTCTGTGCCGGGGCTGTATTGAGTCAGTGCTCGGTCAGTACCGTTCTCTTTGCAAAGCACAAACAGCAGCTCTGCAGCACAGTGCTTGACGTCGGTGTCCACATGCGTCATCAGGCGGACCAGCTTGTTCCGGAGCGTCGAGCCCACTTCTGGACGACTGAGGACGTCTCTGAGAGGGGGGAGGACCTGAGAGGTCAGAGAGAGGTCACTGTACACTTACACTGACCGGCTGGACACCACAGTACACTAACACTGACGGACTGGACACCACTTTACACTAAGATTGACCGGCTGGACACCACAGTACACTAACACTGACCAGCTGGACACCACTGTACACTAAGACTGAGTGACTGGCCTGACTGGACAGCGCTGAGGGACTGGCCTGGCTGGACCAACTGGACAGCGCTGAGGGACTGGCCTGACTGGCCTGACTGGACAGTGCTGAGGGACTGGCCTGACTGGCCTGACTGGACAG